TCCCTGTCTTTATTATATATATATATATATATATATATATATATATATATATATATATATATATATATATATATATATATATATATATATAAATGCCTGTCAATCTGAACAGGCCCCAGATTGAAGGCAGGGATTAAATTTGGAATCTCCCAGATTTATGCGATTTCTAGCTCATGGTATTTTTTTTTTACTTGCCACCTGCCCAGGCAGGCCTTATCTGAAAAGGTCTTAAGGAAAAAGTCTGCGGTTGGGGCATAATCCTATTATGAGCAGCAAATCTGACTGAGAGGCACAAACACCATAAAGGCCATCGACCAACTTGGGGCTGTGGAACACTACTTTCCTGCTTTATTCATCTACCTATAAAAGAGAAGCAAAAAGTTATTGAAATACAAAAAATTATAAATAACCTATCCTCAGACAGACACTAAACAAATAGCTATGCCACTTACTTCATTGTCCTAGATTTTTTGAGTTCATCTTGAAGCAACGGCCAATCAGAAAAACACAGAATCACCATCCTATCAGACTCACTTTGTTGGAATTAAGACAAGGCAGTATAAGCAAAATCATCAAATACAAACCAACAAGTATCTTAATGAATCTGAAAGATATTTTTTTAATCATATCAATAAAGATATGTATTTTGATATTTGGTGTGTATCTGTAGAGATAATCCTCAAAATGCACAAATATATAGGTATAAATACTGATATTTATCGACATAAAAATATTATACAATGACAGCTACTGAGCTATAATTTTGGATAAGGATGTCCTATCAAACTCCAGGCGTTTGCTGAAGGTTCCGCTTGGTGGATGTTTGAAATTTATGTTTATAACCTAACCGTCAGTCGCACCCACAGTAGCACATGCATCTGCCTTTTATGCAGCCAGTGCTTGTAAATCACAGCTTATTATTTGTAAGGCTTGAAAACTCTATTTAGACCCTTTTTTTTGTTAATCAGCCCTATCAGATTTTTTAATAACAATCTAATCAAAGACAGAGAGATAGAAAAGTTGATAAGGCCACAGAGTATTTTTTTTTCTGTATTTTTTCCCAGATGCTCATTGCTCTCAACTGAGGTCCAGTCCAGTCCCACACCACCCACCCCATTCCTTGGCCAGTGAACCAGTGGGCTGGTCTGTATTTCAATTTCGGGGCATGACAAAAGTACAGGCTAGAACCAAATAAGGCACCATCCCCAAGTTTACGTCAACTCGGGCCTGTCGATGAAGTTTGAACTTCTCTATATGTCCATTTCACCCACTGAACTATCGTTCATCTATGACAATGTAAACTCGGTTTTGCATTCTATGACCACTTTAAAGCTAACATGGTTGAAAATTTGCTGCTGTGCTCCATGTTTAGCTTACAGGATTCCTACAGATTTCAAGTTCACATTTCTATGCTTCTCCAAAAATATTTTTTCCCCACTTAAGGTTTTTTATAACTAGGAATTAAACTGGAACATTTAATGCACCTGTACAACTTGGTTTTTATCTTTCATGAGGTCTAAAAAATGATTAAACAACCGAAAAACTAGCTTCTAATGATCACGGTGCCGTCCGTACCTTTTTTGATATCTGAAATGAATTAGACAAGAACCATGTCAAAATCATTAAGCATTGAACTTGAGATTCCTGAAATAAGACATTTAGTATCTAACACTAAATGTAGATTTGAAGCATAATATGCAAATCCCAAAAAATACGAGGATAGGAGCAGACATTCTTTCTCAAGAAAAGAAATACCCTCGATGCTAAGGTCTTTAGCTAACTTGCTTTATTAACTTTATAGGATTAAATATTTAGTTTCCTGCTATTAAACAAAACATTATGATGCACTAATGCCTTGAAGGAGTATCTGGTTGTAGAGGGAACCCTTTTAATGCACAGCTAACAATACTAAAGAAGATTTGTCCTTTAAAGGGCTAGAAAATTTCAATGACTTTCAGAGGGAGGCAGCAGCTATTTTTGTAAGAGCTCTAATGAGGATCTTGACATCCCTTTTTTAGCGTTGATGTATCAGGAAGTAGTGCACCTATCAAACTCACACACACAGTTAGGGTTGTGTGGCCATGAGTTTACTGTAATAACCAGCCAAAGTATGCACAATAATTTCTCTCAGTTTCCCTCCAGATTGGGGCTACTGGAGAGGTTTCAATGGCAGGTTGAAGAGAGGTTGGAGGGAAGGAGAGGAGAGAAGCTGGAGAGGATTTCAAAGGGTTCTAGGGCTGCGCCGATACACAAAGGGCTTTATATTAGGGGCCACTCTCAGGTTCTCCTCTGCAGTAAAAGCTAATCCAAAAATGTAACATTACACTGCAAAATAAAGGCTTTTTTCAACTATTAAAATCCAATCTTTATTGAACATTTAAGGTTCCGTTTTAATGCCAAGGGGACTACTGGATAGAAAAAAAAAAAACCTACTTTGATCATTCTCAGCATTAGCAACAGAAGTGGAAATAACATTGTGCATTTAAAAGAGTGAAGAAACATTAATTTCTTCACACTGTTATTCCCCTCTTGTATGTGTTTGGCTGCCTGAGGGAAGAGAGGGCTTTCATATCATTGCAGTACCTGTTGGTAATAAGAAAATCCATGTGATTTCATTTATATTGTCGTGAAAGAACATACTTACATTTTTTTCGCTAAAGATGAAACCAAATTCAAACTAAAACAGGATGAAAAATGCTCATTAGACCTTTAAGAGATAAAAAGTGGGTTTAGTTTATGTTTTACAAAAAGGTTCACTGCATTGATCAATTCAGCTTGGTCTGGATTCAGAATCTATGAACTGTGGCCTGTGCTCCAGCTGCCAAAACAAGAGGCCTTACATGCTCTTTGCTTTTTATTCACTGTCATGGCAAGTGCTGAAATAGCAGCAACATGAGCAGTTAGTGTCATTCATAAATTGATTTAACTGCATTGTAATCAATCTGAGGAACCACAGGGCTTCTCTTCTTCCTCCTCTTCAGCGTTTCACAATAATAGGTGGCTCAGCGATCTATAATACAACAAAGTCGCACCAAAGGGGATGGGAGGGTAGAGGTGTTTCCTCAGGAGGATTACAATTAAATTATAATACTTTGGCTTTTTTTGTAATAGTTAGTTTGTTGCACAGTCAAGCATAAAGTTTTTCAGGCAAATATTTAAAAGTATATTTTTTTTGTTTTGATATTTAGATAAATAACCCCTATAGAAGATGGGTTCTACTGATTTATAGCACTAATAAATACCACAGAATTAACAAAAATGCAAACAAGAGAAAATAAAAACAATTAAACAATACAAGACTTTCAATGAGTCACTGGTCTAAAGCAAAGGTGAAGCCACATAACTTAAAAAAGACTCAGAGAGTTTCTAAGGTTAGGGACAGGATGTCACTGTTGTACTTGAGATACAACATCCCAAATCAGACATGCATACAAACCTAATTGGAAAGAATCACAGCTATGCTATTTTAATTCAGGAAAGAAAATGTTTTAACTGTATTTGGACCCTTGCCTGACCCAATTTTCATGGTAGACGAGAGAATACAGAAATACTTTCAACATTTATGTGTGAATTAATAATGTTAAAAGGGACAGCTTAGAATGCGAGCAGTGTACTTGTTAGCACTACCTTGCACTAAGGACTGGGACCCAATTCCTTTTTTCTTATGCATAGAATTTGCACAGTTTCTCCTTATTTTAGGTGGTGTGATTATTCAGATACTCCAGTTTCCATCCACACTTAATGAAAATGTAGGGGTGTATGATTGTGTGTCCTGCACCTCTATGTACTGCTATATGAAGGACTAGCGACATGTTAGGATAATACCATGTCCATGTTCCAAATAGCCCTGTTCTCATGTATTCATTTACTGAATAAAAAGGTAAACTGTCTTTCTTTGTAGAGAAAAGATTATGGCTTTAGAGATTGGAAGAGAATGGAGTAAGTAAATAAAGATCTTTATTTTTGCAAATTACCGCTATGATTAACAATATCAGACTAGATATCCTGTCCAATACAAGTGTTTTTTATTTTGTATTATATAGTTCTAGTTGTCAGCGTTGCATGTTGCATTAATTACTGTTTCAAACAGCGGAAAAATCAGTTTTGAAATCTAATACATTTTAGCAAGTGAACCTTCCCTTATACAACAATCAATTACACATGCATGTTGCCTCTAGGGAAAAAGAATTGCCTGCCTTTGTCCTAGTGCACTCTACCATCAGTCATGAATTATCCAGGATTCAAAATATTTGAGGAAGACATCCCCTAGAAAGACCTGGAGGGAGGAGTACACTTTTTCTTTTCTTTTAATTGGCTTATTATCTAGATTTATACACTTCAACTGAAAATAACTGGGGTTGAAATTCTCTGCAGCTGTTATTGTTCTGGGTCAGCAGATGAAAAGTTTGGAAGCAAAAGGGGCTCAACAGCAGTTCAGCTCAGCCCGTGTGAATTTGCAGCTGTGGTTAAAAATTAGCAGTAAGTCTCTAATGAAATTCCAGTATCTTCACACTTGGGGGCCCAGGGTAATCAAATGGTTCAGTTTGTGGACCACCAACCATGCAGGTGGTTAGACTGAAGTTTCTTCACAGGCCAGCAAACAAGTCAGTGGATAAAGAAAAAGCAAAAAGATTTAACCAATAAAAGAGATATTTCTCTTCAATAGAGGAAAGTAAGCTCACAAGAACTTGCAGCATTGCTAAAATCAATCTAATAAAAAAAAAATCGTTTCATTTCTTTAAGACATAACTAATACCTGGATGTTAAGGTTTTTCATCACTTCTTCACCCCAGAGGCGTTCTTGTTTCAGTCAGGAACCAGCAGGACTCCTGCACCACAAATCCAGCCGCTGCTGCTTCATAGTTCTGACTTACAAACTGATCTACTGCAGCAAATGGCTTTCTTCTAGGTTGAATTCAACAGAGGGAATTGAATGAAGACTGTGTTCTCCTTACCTCTACCGTGAATCCAGATGAAGCCTCTGCAGATGGTATGCAGGGAAACTCAGCTGATGATGGTTATCTGTCAGAGTCGGTCAAGATGTTTTACCTCCAACATAAACAACTCCCCTGTCTGTCATGTTTCCAGGCTTCAGAGGTTCGTTTGTGGATCCAAGCTCGTAGGGTTCTGGTTCAGTAATGAGCTCCAGCCTGCTGTGCACTGCGAAACCCGCTGCACGCTCCTGCGTGTCGCTCGGAGAGGGAAGGGGAAGTGTTTATGTCTCCCAGGGCTCACACCCCTTCTTCCCCTTGCAATCACGGCTGTAATTTGTTTGAGTCGACGCTTTGATTCGATTTAAGCAGTGGATAGATAGGTTTTGGGTTTTTCTCCCTCTTTTTCTCGGCTGTCCGATGTGCTGACAGCTTCATGCTGCAGGGAGGAAGCGCCGCACCGTGCGCCCTGCGCTCCGACATGGACCAACAGCACTGCCTGCTGTACTCAAAGCGACACAGCACAAAGATCCATTGATTTCTGGGCCAAGCAGGTAAGCTCTGACTGCCAGGTAAAAATCACACAGAAGGTCTGTGTGTTCTGAGCAAAATTTGAATAAAATAACGCATATTAAGGAATAAAGGTACACAATTAGAAATGAAGCTATACTATTTGATTTTATATATAGCTATAAAAACTTGGAACATGTGGGATGATGAATGTGGGAGAATAGGTGCATTCACTCAGATCATAGTCAAGTGTACACGTTTCATGTTGATATGTCATTTTTAGTGTTCAACACATCATTGTATTAAGATGAATAAATAGAATTTATTCAATAAAACCACAAACCTTCCCAAACAGGTCCTGGCTCCTAATTTCAGGGTCAGTCTGCTTTTAAAAAACATGACCACAGAAACAAAAACACAGATTCAAAGTGCACAATTGTTTGCTGCAAATATGCATCAAATAAGAGCACCGTGCAGAAAAAAAATGCTATAATTTGAATAAAACAGAAATCTGTCCAACCTTATTTCCATAACTGCTTTTCTTTGCAGGGTTGTAGGGTGGGCTGGTATCCATCTTTAGCAGTCATTAAAGCTAACCTTGGACAAACACATCAGTCAATTACAGACCTACACAGATGCACAAAGAAGCATAGACAATCTCATACCTATGGGCAATTCAGAGACCAGTTGATCTAAATGTCCAGGTTTTTAACTGCTGGAGGAAACAGGAGTATCCAGAGAAACACCTAAATTTGGATGTGCTCTCATTTTATTTACATATGTCGATTTTGAAAACTGTTTTGAGAATGGATAAATGAAATATATTATTGTGGACAATAAGTACTGGCAAAGCACAACTGTAAATAGGGTTTTATGTTTCTCTAACTTTACTGGTGATACGGAAAAAAAATTCAGATTTTGGGCAGCTGTGACTCAGGAGTTAGGGGTTTGTTCTGTAACCAGTAGCCATGCAAATTTGTGGTGTTTCTATTTGGTCTAAAGCGAATTAACCAAACCACAAAGTTTGAAGTCATCATATGTCTTCATCCACATCATGTTGACATTAATGGCTGTAGTAAGAAGGAAGAAGAGGCTGCTATCTAGCACCGACCACAGATCAGTGATGGAGGAATGTTTTAATAAATGTCTTGCCATCGAGTGATCTTAAAATGTCAGTAATGGTAGCTATCTGCCATGCTTACACGCATAATGGGAATATTCAGACAGATGGCGACAGCAGAAACAGCTAATCAGTCCTGTAAAGTAAAATTTTGCTATGTCAGAGCTGATTTAAAAAGTGTTTTTAATATCCCATTTTAATAAATCTGTTTTTTTTTTTTGCAAAAGCCAAAAAGCACGTCAAGCGAGCAAACCTTAGCGAATCAAAGGTAGTTGTTTTTAAAATTGTGGTTTCCATCATTCTTTCTAATGCGATACCTCAAAATGTGTATTAGAAAAAGCTGAAGGAAATACGCTTAGTAGGGGTTGCCAGTTCAAACCCCTTGACCCATCTGTCCCAGTCATTGTGTTCCTGGGCCAGTCACTTCACCCGCCTTGCCTGTTATTGATGGTCAGAGGGCCCCTGGGGTACCAATCAGATTTCACGGGGATCAATAGCACCCCCTCCCAATTCTAACTCCGCCCCTGCTCCAGTTGCATGCCACAGCTTCTGTCATTGCTGTTAGTTGTCTAACCATCAGTTTATGGAGTTGATAAAGCTCTATGAGGTATTGGCCATTTGCCATACATACTGAATTCACTTCAGGATTGAAAGAAAATAACATGATTTTATATATATATTTATTATATATTTTTTTTCATTCACAATTTGGTTTAAACGTAGAGAAACATTCGTATCTAGATGTAATGCAATCAATGTACACATAACATTGATTTATGTCTAAATGAAATCTAGCTTTCAATTTAAGTCTGAGTTCCATATACATTTTTAAATTCACTTAAAGGCTATTACTTAGTGATTTTATTACTTTTTTTGTAGAACCAGTCACATTGTGCATACAATGTTTTTGAAAGCCAGAAACAAACACACTCAGCTTCCTCTTCAAGTTCTGACTCTGATAAGGAGTCAGAACTTTTAAAAATATTTCAAATTCTCTCGGGGCTTGCTAAGCTAACACAGGGATCACCAATCCATCTCAAATTCTTTCCACTTTCATTTCATTCAGTCCTACATGCTACTGCTTAATGTATTTTTGCTGTTTTTAAGCATTTTTGAAATTATTGTATAGCAGCAGTGTCGGGTTTAAATCCCGACCCTGGAGGCTTTTTTGTCTGTTTGCATATTCTCCCTGCATTCATGGGTTGTCTCTTAGTTCCCCCACGACTCTATGTGAAGTTTGCATGTTCCCCTGTGCATGTGTGGATTCTCTCCTGGTACTATGACTTCCTCCTCTTGTAGTTCAAAAACATTCATGTTAGAATAATTTGTTCCAAGGTTAGAGCATATGCATATATGCTTGTTTGTTCCGTGTCTCTTTATGTTGTCCTGTACTGACAAGTTTTCCAGGCCAGGGTGAAACTGGTCACTGGTTTAATCATCTCTGGAAAATGGCACACACCCTCTCCTTAGTACACCCTTCAAGATGAATGTATGAATTTTGCTTTTTGAATTTAACAGGCTGTAATTATGTTAAATACGTTAGCTAGGTATTACCATAGGTAATTAAGTTAATTGAATATTAAGAACTAACTCATGAAAAAAAAGCTGTAAAGAAGTTTAATAAGAAATTTTCAGTTCAGACACAATCAACAAAAAGATGATTGAATTAGCTTTAAATTATGGCACTGTTAAAATAATTTTTTCACTATAAACGTGTTTATAAATATATGGGCTACTCTGATCCCTTGGTGCTCATTTATTTTATTTGCTCCTTAGAATAGTCTGCTCCTGAAAGATAATTGCATTAGCTTACTTGGACCTTTTATTTATAGTGTGAATGATTTCTGTGTAAGCCAGACCTTTAAGTCAGTGTTTTTTCTATGTTTTCTTTATATTCAGTTACTAATGTTTTAAGATTAATTGAAGGTTTTTTGAACAACCGAACACAAACCCACCAATATTTAAGGGTTTCTGGTTAGAAATAAAGTTTCACCAACTTTAGCAGTTTCTAACATTTGTTCAGTTTTTACTTATTTCCAGAGATGGGAAGTAACGAAGTACAAATACTTCATTACTGTACTCAAGTAGATTTTTCTGATATTTTTACTTTACTTTACTACTTATTTTTATGGTGACTTTTTACTTCTACTCCTTACATTTTTACACAAATATCTGCACTTTCTACTCCTTACATTTAAAAAAATTGGCTCGTTACTTTAGTTTTGAATCATTTCAATGGAGTTACCGTTATTATTTTTCACGTCATCAATACCAAATTCAATCTAATTGGATGGGAATCTACGTTGCATTTGACGCACCACTACAAGATGAATCGACAGATTCGGCGGTATTCATTCGCGGCAAATCCTTGCAGCTTGGTGGCGGTGGCGTTAGCATAGTAGTATGGACGACGAGATGAAAATGAACACAATGTAGATCTAGTCCTATTGGCAGACATCCATTTAAAAGGCAACGGCATGAAAAAAGTGGTTTTCTACTTTAAGTAAATTTACAAGCCTGTACTTTGTTACTTTTACTTGAGTAAAGAAGTTTAATCAGTACTTCCACTTTTACCAGAGTATTTTTTAACACAAGTGTCTGTACTTTTACTCAAGTACGGAAAGTGAGTACTTTTGCCATCTCTGCTTGTTTCTTATTTTTTCCTCACATGCTTCATGTGTTGCTCTTGTTACCTGCTACACCTGTCTTCAGACCTAAATGCTTCTTTTCAACATAATGATATAATCCAGGTCTATCTTTTCAGGTTATTGGTAGCATAGTTTCTTAAATAACAATAAAGTACTTTCGCCTCCTGCATCTAGATTTTAGCTATGTTGAAAGCTCTATCCATATACATCAAACTGAACCTGTAAGTCAAACCACTTGCTGGGCAGCAAATGAAAAATCATTTTAAACAAAAATTCAGTGGATCAATTTTGTTAAATTGATTTATTTTAACCTTTTTTTTTTTCTTTTTTTTTTTTGCCTCTCACTCTTCTTATACTGTTATGTCTCTTGTATATTGTATTGGATGTTATTTTTTTGAGGGATGCTGCAATTAACTTAGCTTTTTAGTCATTTCTATTTTATTGCTGATGCTACTTGACTATAAGCTGTGAAGTGTTAGCGTTGTTTTCTTACATGATATCAGCAAATAAATACATTTCCTCAATCTTAGGTTTTTTTGAATGCTCCAAACTGATTCAGAGTGTGAGACATTTATGTTTCTTATTTGTGGTGAGATTGTTGAAATAAGGCTTGTGTCATATCTTCAGCGCTCCATCACATATGAAGAATGTGATGGTAAGTGAAGGTAGACAACAGTTTTAGAAAGGAGTTAAATGTTTATCCAGAGGGCAGTGAACCAGGAGCGTATTGGCTAATCTGGGGTGCTGATCTGAAGGTCTGTTCTTGGTTCTGAGATTGTGTGGTTGCAGACAGGTCTTCCCTTTGAGTGAAGCCAGGTAGGGAAGAGAGGGGTTCCTGATTGTGTGAATAAAGTTAAGTTTTCTTGGAGGTTGAATCTGAGGCATAACTCCTAGGATGTGTTTCAGAGAAGAGCTGGATTTTAGCAAAGGCAAAACTTGGACAGAATCAATTTCTCCATTGGATTGTAGGGGGTTCCAACTCCAGTCTTCAAGAGCTATTGTGCTACAACTTTTAGATGCACCCTTTTTCCAAGGCACCTAAATCTAAGGTGAGTTGGAACTGGGTACAAACATACCTGTGTGTTTCCACTAAGGTTGAGAGTCAGGTGTTGACGACTGACAACAAGCTTCTTTTAGGCTTCAGTAAACAGGCTGATTAGCAGCAGATGTGTGAAACTCTGCAGCTCTACTCAACCTGCCAGGAGAACCGGAAGGAAGTGAAAAAAAATTATAGCACATCTAGATCCCTGACAGTTTACTTTTCACTTCACTCATA